GATTAGTTAAAAAAAAGTGATATTCTTGGTTATAAAACGTAAGGTATGTGTGAAATCTCTATAATTGTCTCGAAGTTAAGAAAATCTCCTTTTATTTGGAATTGAGTCTTTTAATCCAAGTTTAGTTTAAACTCTTAAATTTACAACTTAAGTTATTTTATTTAGTTAAATTTCAAATGCCTAAAAACAATAATTTAATTGAAAAAAAGAGAGTAAATCTTACTTAAATATTTTTTTCATTTATTGCTAATTTAGGTTGTTGGCGTTGTTAGGGTTATATAGAGGCAAGTTAATGGAGTTGAAATATTTATTTTCTACTTATAATTTATATATCATAGATTATGCAATATTTTTTAAGAGACGTGATAGATTTATGTATTCCTATTCTTTATGGACGTTGATACGGACACACTCTGGACCAACATCCATATCAACACATTTCGGTTCAATTTTTAAAATACAATTTTGTCCTCGGAGTTTACATATCCATGGCTTATTCTGGATACCTTATGTTGAAATCCCTATGATTTCATGAAAATCAACCCAGATCCAAGCGCTCTTGAATCAGCTTTCATCCAACCCTACATCATCCTGATTTGGACTTATATTTTATTTTCCTAGTAATTTGATTATTTACCCAATCATCATCCACATTAGCATTTGGTTCCTCACCCACATTAGCACAACAGAAATAACAAAACACCAGAGCCATAACTTTAACAAAACAGTAGAAATCCCAAAGCACCAAAGCCATAACTTTAACAATAACAAAAGCTAAAAGGGTGAACTTGGATCTGGGTTCTCTTGGAAAACCCGGACCCAGATCCAGGCGCCCTTGAATCAGCTTTCGTCCAACCCTGCATCATCTTGATTTGGATTTATATTTTATTTTCTCTGTAATTTGATTATTTACCCCATCATCATCCATATTAGCATCTGGTTCCTCACCCACATTAGCACAGCAAAAATAACAAAACACCAGAGCCATAACTTTAACAAAACAGTAGAAATCCCAAAGCACCAAAGCCATAACTTTAACAATAACAAAAGCTAAAAGAGTGAACCTGGATCTGGGTTCTCCTGGAGAACCCGGAACTGGGTTCCCTAGGGGAACGCCGAAACTGGGTTCTCAAGGGTAACCCAAAACTGGGTTCCCCAAGAGAACCTCGAAACTGGGTTCTCAAGAGAACCCAAACTTGGGTTGTCCAAAAGGGGGAAGAGAAGGAAGAAGAGGGAAGGTGAGGGAAAGAAGAAGAAAAAGAAAGGAGGAGGAGGGAAAAGAAGGAAGAAATCATGGGCAAAACAAAGTCTTCTCATTCCCAATCTCAGAGTGCTTTCTTCCTCACCTTTCCTTTTGTTTGTTTGTTTAATTTTAGATTACGAACATTTTATTAGAGTAGAGGAGATGTTTGGAAACAAATTTTAGTTGTTTGCTTTTAATTCAAACTGTTGAATATTAATATTTTAAGGTTGTATGTTAATTTGGGTGAATGAATCGAGTGTGTCCATGTCATTACCCATACTTTATATCAAGAATAAATTAAACTTCTCATTTCATATAAAATCCATTCATTACACCATGTAATGTAATAGTAATACTGTAAAATCATAAAAACTAAATCATTCAAAGCAATAGTTTCTATTAACCCATTTCGTTAAAAAAAAAAAAGAAAAGAAGAATAAGATCGAAAGAAAGGCTTGAGATCTAAAGGAAATATAAGGAGATATGGAAAATTGAGAACAATAAATTTTTTTTTTGAAAGGCGAATGAAATATTAATATTGGAATACTAGGGGTATTCCAACCCAATTCTTACAGGAGCAGCAAAACAGCAGGTTGCAAAATTATCCTGCCGCCTGCTATATCAATGCAAAACATAACAAAATCCAATAAGAAGGCTAGTTCAGACCCTGTCTTTCCTTTTGTTGGTGGTCTTTAAACAATTGGATGGGTTCTCGCACCAAGCTTGCAAGGAGAATCCGTCCATTCCAGCAATATTCTTAGCCCAGTAGAAAGATCGAATTTGAACTAGCTCAAGGAGACAGTCGGCCTTTACCTCCTTTTTGTTAAAAATCCAGTCATTCCTTCCCAGCCATAGAGTCCATACCACTGCAAACCAAATGATATTCCACCCTCTATCTATTAATTTATTGCCTCCAGTCCATTTGTGTTGGTCTAAAACCATTCTACACGAATTACTCATAACATAATGCACTCCCCACCACTTGTAACATTTAATCCACAAGGAGTAAGCCAGGTTACAATGTAAGAAAATGTGGTCATGGGACTCGGGAAATGCATCACACCAGCAACAATTAGAACTTGCTATATCAGTTAAAATTCCGCGAGATGCTAGATTATCTTTTGTAGGTAATTTCCTATGAAGTAATTGCCAACAAAATGCACTTACTTTGGGTGGGATAGGTGCTTTCCATACCCTTTTGAAGTCCCCTTCATGCCTTGGAACACCCTTTGATAGTTGAGAATAAGCAGACTTAGTTGTGTAATTTCCTGAGATTTCTAAATGCCAACTCCACTGGTCTTCTTTGTTCTGTGAAGGGTGAGTTGTATTAATTATCTCAAGAAGCTCTTTTTCTAGATCCTCCTCCCATGAGCGAAGTTGGCGCTTCCATGGTAATTCCCAGTGCCAGCTGCTATTCCTCCAGGTTCCCATATCTTTAACAGTTGCATTTTGGTCTGTGGTTAACAAAAACAAACGAGGGAATTTGATAGAGAGTGCACTCCCTCCTACCCATACATCCGACCAGAATTTCAAAGTTCCACCATCCCCCAATTTTGCTTCAAAACCCAAACTAACCCAGTTATTCATTATGCCCTCCCCTTGGTCTATTTTGCAAACGTCCCTCCACCATTTGGAGCCTTGTGGTCTGCCCTCCTTTAAGCAAGTGAGCCAATACCCTTCTTTGATCCCATATTTTTCAGCTAGGACTCTCTTCCATAGCCCCCCTTTCTCCATAAGCAGTCTTCCCCACCATTTTCCTAATAATGACTTATTAAAGCATGACAGATTTTTAATGCCCAAACCCCCTTCAAACTTGTTAAGGCAAGTATTCTCCCATGCTACCCATGCTACTTTTTTCCTCTCCCCAACTCCCCCCCATAGGAATCGTCTCCTAATTTTGTCTAACTCCCTCCTAATTTTGAGAACAATAAAATTGAGTTGTCATTTCGAAAACTATATTTTTGAATCCCCTCCTAAAATTCCTATTTGAATATAAGCTACAGTTTAAACAACTGGCTGTCCCATGTCATAAAGCCATGTTCTCTAAAATACAAAAGGAGAAAGTTGAACCAAAAAAAGAACAAAGAAGTAGAAAGTCAAATTACCAATTGTATCTCCTGTGAAGATGGGTTTAACAAGTGAATAACTATTTTGCACCTCACTAATTCAAAATGCAGAAGGGAAGTTAAAGGGTAAAATGAAAATTTTAGATGGGAAGAGGGACGTTAGGATTTAGGAACTTGGGTTTAGGGTAAAAGGCTACAATGCCCTTAAAATGACTCACACACTATTGGAGCTCTTCCATGAGGTCAAAACGGTAAACACAATGTAAAGTAAGAAGACCAAAATGCCTCTAAAATAGCTAAACACACTATTAGAGCTCTTCCATGAGATCAAAATGATAAACACAATGTCAAGAATGAAGTGAGAGAAAGGAACAAAATTTAGTGATGAGAGAGATAGGACTAAGAGATGCTTAAAGATTTTTATATTTAGATTTTGGTTTTACTTGTTTCCATTATGATGCAATGGAAAATTTATAAATTTTATTTATCTTGAAATCTTTTTCTTCTATTTATCGTAGTTGAGTGATTAATGTTGAGATCCTAAAAACATTATTAAAAAAATTGAAAACTCTCCATGCATTGCAAAACTTAGCTCTACTTATTCCTTCAAGAATATATCAATTGATAGTGGGAGTCTTGCTTTGCTTCAAGACATTTCAAACTTTTCAACAAGTATAAAAATGCCCAAAACTGATTCTGGATGAGGAAGATACAAAGTTTGGGAGTTATAGGAAAGTATGCAAGCAGGAAATGCGGAACAAGCCGAGCAAAGCCAGCCCTAAAAATGTTAAGCGGGCCAGAATCACTTAAAACGAACTCCACGCATGCAGCAATCAGCCCCTAATTAAGATTAAGAAATGAAGCAGCTGAGAACAAATATAGGACGAGCTGAAAAATATCTCAAATTGCCTGGATAATATAGATAGAGGTTTGGGGGACTTGGTAAACAAGAGAGAAGCAACAAGAACCCCACTGTCTACAATTTGAAGCTATCAGATTGTAACGTTTCTCTAGCATCCACGATGAACATTCATGGAATGTGAAATTTGTATAGTCCATCTGGAAATCTCTAGTCATTAACTATGTCCAATCAAAAGCAAGAAAAAAATGAACATTCAATTTGCTTTAAGACGAAATGTGAAATCTTCATTCATCTACCAAAACTTAATTGGCAGTTCCTTAAGGGTGTTTCATCTGTTTAGAACATTTAATAAGTTGTGTGAGGCGAAATCTTCTATTGCTAGAGCTATAGGTTTGGCTTCGCATTGTATGGCAGTTGAAAATCCCATTGTGGAGACCTTGGTAATCTCCTTGCTTTATTAATGGATTTCATTATTCACCATAAAAAAAAAAATGGAATGGTTTTAGTTTTGTTTATAAAAAATAGTTAAAAGGGGCAGTTATAATTGTTAGTTGTTAGGGAAGAGTGTTAAGGTAATACCCATGAAATTCACGAACCGCTAGTAACAAACACCCTTTATGATAAAATCCTTCTAGTAACAAACACCCTTTATGATAAAATCCTTCTAGTAACAAACACCCTTTATGATAAAATCCTTACTAGGATACTTGCTTCTCCATCAAATATCCTGTTCCCATCAAAGGAGGTAATCCTGTTCCCATCAAAGGAGGCTGCAAGTGAAGAAGGCAACAATGCATACAAGTCAAAGAACCTAGTTCACAAGGCGTTCTTCTATTGTATAGAGCGTCGCGATCCCTGCACAGCCAGTTGCCACTCACTGCCAAGACAAGTTGCGAATGAGTTAATCTTTTCTTGTTAGGTCTCTCTCTTTTCTTTTCTTTTTCTTTTTCCCATTTTTTTTTTTCAGCTTTTGACTTGTCCAGCTGGCATTTAAGTAGAATCCTCCCTTGCCATTGTCACAATGTAAGTGGTACACTAAAATTAAATCATATTGGTGTAAAAGATAAGGCTAACTCTGTATTCTGCACGGTTCAATTAATCATGCAATAAGAAAACAGTTGACTGTCAGTGTCAGGTCATTATTCAGGAAAGAACTGCCTACTAGTCAACACCCTAGTAAACCGGCCACCGTAAAGATTCTATTTGTTATTTTTGAAAACATGCAAACCTAACCAATTTTCATTCAATTTTTAATGTTTATCATCTTCCTCGTATTGCTTTTCTTCTCTAGATTCTCACATGGAACTGATATCATCACCTCATCCAACAATCTTAGTGATGGCAGAACCTTAGTTTCTAGAGATGGAAGCTTTGAACTGGGGTTCTTCAGTTCTGGAAGCTCTGGTAAAAATAGGTATTTGGGAATTTGGCATAAGAATATCCCAGTTCACACTGTTGTTTGGGTTGCAAATAGGTGCAGCCCGATAAATGACTCATCTGGTGTTTTGATGATAAACAATACAGGCAGTCTGGTTCTTCTCGATAAAAGCAGGAGTATTGTTTGGGCATCAAACTCAATGAAAGAAGCTCAAAACCCAGTAGTTCAGCTCCTGGATTCCGGAAATCTTGTTCTAAAGGATAGAAATGCTGGTATTTTGTGGCAAAGCTTTGACTATCCTACTGATACTTTGCTGGCGGGGATGAAACTCGGACGGGACTTAAGGAGTGGTCTTAATCGCCGACTATCAGCATGGAAGACCCCTGATGATCCATGCCCTGGAGACTTAACTTACGAGATGGAGCCTTATAATTATCCCGGTCTTGTTATGTGGAAAGACTCAAAAAAGTATTTCCGATCAGGACCCTGGAATGGCATCGGAATGAGTGGTGCACTCCATTTGAAGCCCACTCCGTGGTTCACGTTTGACTTCATCTCAAATGAAGAGGAGGTTTACTTCATTTATTACTTGATAAACAAATTTGCAACCACAAGGCTTGTTTTGAACCAAACTTCCACTAAGGGAGAGCGCTACATATGGAATGAAGAAGCTAGGACTTGGAAATTGTACAATCAGTTTCCATGGGATAACTGTGACAACTATGGGACTTGTGGGGCATATGGGATGTGTGTGAATATAGCATCGCCGCCTTGCCAATGTCTGAAAGGTTTTAGGTTGAAATCACAAGAAGGCAGCTCTGAGGACTGGTTTCAAGGTTGTGTGCGCAATAATCCTTTAGATTGCCAGAAAAGAGATGGATTTATCAAATTTGGTGGGCTGAAACTGCCAGATACTGCACGTTCTTGGGTGAATAGAAGTATGAACCTCAATGAGTGCAGGGCTAAATGCCTGGAGAATTGTTCTTGTACGGCCTATACAACCATGGATATCAAAGAAAACAGAGGCTGTGCAATGTGGTTTGGTGATCTAGTTGATCTTAAACAGGTCGAAGTTGGCGGACAGGATTTATATGTTCGAGTGTCTGCTGCTGATTCAGGTATTGGTTTACTTTTGGTTCACTCTGTCAATTCAATATTTCGTTAAGTTATGATTCCTATTTATCTTGGGTGTTACTAGTTCTATTTTCAGTCAACATGCGAAACTATTTCTTTGCTATGACTCTAATGAAGAAAAATCACAAAAAATGATAGAATAGAGAATACTGAATTGTCTTCAGATTTCTTGATGTTCTGTACAATGACATGTATAAATATATTTACAAGACATGTTTACACGCAGAGGATTATGCAGAGGAGTGTTATTTTGACTGTTGCTCAGTTTCTGCATTATGACTGTTGCTCAGTTATGACAGATAATTTCCTTCCTCTTTTGTTGCTGTTTCCTTGTCCAATTCGGATCTTGATTGCTTGTATTTGCTGTCATTTGTTTCCTTATTTAACTCTTGCGTTGATTGCTGCTTTCCTGTATTCTTCATATCTAATTCATATATTTATTCTTTATTTTGTTGAATTAGACCATGAAGAGACAAAAGGCAAGACTAAAATGAAGGCAGGACTGATAATTGCAAGTATTATTCTTATAGTTATTGGTGCTCTTGTAATCACCTATTACATTCGCAGGGGCAGTCGAAACATAGAAGGCATGTTTGTTTGCCTTCATAAATCTTTTTGCCATTAAATATTGATTGCAACTTCCATTGGTTCTTTTCTTACAATTTGGTTTTGATTAAATTCCTCGCTATTTCAGTAAGAAGAAATGGCACGAGCAATGAAGAGCAAACTGAAGATATCGAACTCTCATTATTTGAATTAGATGTAATATCTAGGGCCACCAATGACTTCTCTTCCCACAACAAGCTAGGAGAAGGTGGCTTTGGTCCTGTCTACAAGGTAAATGTTCAAAGATGTAGTAAAAATGACTTCTAGGATAAGAAGTGTTTGTTAAGAAATGAACTTTACAAATACACTTTCCAGGGTACTCTGCCAGATGGAAAAGAAATTGCTGTGAAGAGGCTCTCTAGAAGTTCTGGACAAGGATTAGTAGAGTTCAAAAATGAAGTAGCACTTATAGCCAAACTTCAACATCGAAATCTTGTAAAGCTTCTAGGATGCTGCATTCAGGGGGAGGAGAAAATGTTAATTTACGAATATATGCCTAATAAAAGTCTGGACTTCTTCATTTTTGGTATAGATTCCCCTTAAACCCGTTCAAATATTGTTAGTACTAGAATTCATCAGATATTTTTGCCAGATTTCTATGCAACTCTTTATCAAAAACTAGTTGAATACTACATTGATATGAAGGACATGTTATGTGACAGACCATACAAGAAGAAATCTATTGGACTGGCCAAGGCGTTTTCACATTATTTGTGGAATTGCTAGAGGGCTTCTTTATCTACATCAAGATTCTCGATTGAGGATAATTCATAGAGATCTCAAAGCAAGCAATGTTTTGCTTGATAGTGAAATGAACCCCAAAATTTCAGATTTTGGCATGGCTAGAACCTTTGGTGGAGAACAATCTGAAGGGAACACAAGGAGGGTGGTTGGAACCTAGTAAGTCCTCTTTCTGTGCTACCTAACTTACTACAAAATCCCTGTTAACATAATTTGTCTCAACCTAAGGGGAATGCAGAGTGATGGTTGCAACGTAGTAAGTCCTCTCTCTATACTACCTAATTTATTACAAATTCCTATTGATATAATTTGTCTGAAATAATTTTGTTGCAGTGGTTATATGGCACCGGAATATGCCATTGATGGGCAATTTTCTGTCAAATCTGATGTTTTCAGCTTTGGAATACTATTGCTGGAAATAATAAGTGGAATGAAGAGTAGAGGGTTTTACCATGTCAACCACAGTGTTAACCTTATTGGCAATGTAAGTATCAAGATTCAAGACCTCCTCTCCTACTTTTCCTTGAACTAGAACATGACAGAAAGTTTCTACTATGTATTTAGGCATGGAGATTGTGGAAAGAGGGAAATCCTTCAAAACTGATTGATTCATTTGTATTGGAGTCTTGCAATCTATCTGAAGTATTAAGGTGCATTCACATTAGTCTCTTATGTGTTCAGCAACACCCTGAGGACAGGCCAAATATGTCATCTGTGGTTTTGATGCTGGGCAGTGAGACTGCATTGAGACAACCTAAAGAACCCGGTTTCCTTGTTGACGAGAAATCACTCGAAACAAGTTCTTCATCTAACAAACTTGAATCATCTTCAACTAATGAACTTAGCATGTCAGTATTGGAGGCTCGATAGAGGCTAATTATTCAAATACTACATGCCTAGTGCTGCTGTTAATGTTAACTGAATGATGTTCACGAATGCACGCTATACATATAACTTAACTATTATTTTAGTTCAAACCTAAATGTATCAAGATAACTACTTTGTCAATTTTCTAATAGTCTTATATATATAGTTGAATATTTGTGTCTCATATGGCATGTTGTCGTAGTTAAAAACTTAAATGATAATTATTAATCCTTTATGCTTGGAATGGTTAGTTAAAATACGCTTAGCATGATGTTCCAAAAGAAAAATAGAACTGCTTAGCTTGTTGTCTTTTTTTAAGAATAATATTTTTTCTTCTGAGGTAAACGGAAATTTATCCCACTGATTTACCAAAAATAAATAAAAAATGATATATATATTTTTAATACATTTGATTATGAGATATATAAGAAAAGATAACATTTTCTCTTGTAAAGAAAGATGAGTACCATCCCCACTGCACTTTCATGTATTAAAAATAAATTAAAGTTACTTAATAAGATCATGGTTATGGTTACCATTGTTTTTGTTAACACTATTAAAGTTGTTAAATTTTAATTTTAATTTAATTTTTAAAAATAATTTATAACTAATAAAATAGATAACATTTATTATTTTATAAATTAATATTAATTTAT